CACAAGTTGACCCGACCCAAGCTCGATTCATTTTTACAAACGGATCAGATATTTTAACCCAATCCTGACCCGTGTGGGTTAACGGGTTGAAACTTTCCACCCCAAATTTTCTATGATTTAATTCTCCCGACTTCAATATTGGAAGGAAAAAAGGAATCTGAATTTTCTTAATTCAAATTTGATGATGATGGATTTTATCTATGTTAAAACAAATATAATAAGCTATTTATAAATCAATTTTTTATATTTATCTCAAAGTAAATTAATAGATAGAAAATTATTCTAACGAAATTAGAATAAAGATATACTGATCCAAAATTTCTCCACAGTAGAGATTTATAACAAACATTAATCTATCTATGGAGAAAAGCCTGACTTAATACAGCTACCCTCTTTTTATTTATTTATTTTCCTTTTACTTTCTATGGAAACTTTAATGTGGATGGTTTTCTATTTTTTTTTTTATTTTTAACTGGCCTTAGTGGAATTGATGCGGTGGAGGTCACCAATTTGAAGGAGATCAGTGGCTTTAAATATTGAGCTTTTTAGCCATAGAGAAAAAGAACAAAAGAAGAAGTGGATTTCTGTCCATTATTTTAAGTCACTTCTCCCACATATAAATGTTTGTCGAGTCTTTATTTTATGTGAATATGAAACTTCTATCACTGAATAAATTGAGTTCCTTTTTGGAATTTCCTCTACGTCCGGTCGGAGGACGTAATAATTATTGAAGGAGATCAGTATCTTTAAATATTGAGCTTTTTAGCCATAGAGAAAAAGAACAAAAGAAGAAGTGGATTTCTGTCCATTATTTTAAGTCACTTCTTCCACATATAAATGTTTGTCGAGTCTTTATTTTATGTGAATATGAAACTTCTATCACTGAATAAATTGAGTTCCTTTTTGGAATTTTGAAATCGCTTTATGAACAAAAAGCGGTTTAATGGTTACTATATAAACAAATATTTTGATAGTAATATTATATTACTATTTGTTAGGTTCAAATTTATTTATGTGTGACATCATAAGCTTAATTATTGGTTATAATAGATCAAATTATAGAGACAGGATTGAAGATAAATAGAAAGAATCAAAGAACAAAAAGCACGATATGCAAACCACAAACGAACACAAGAGATTTACGTGGAAAACTCAAATCTGAGAAAAATCACAGGAGAAAAGGGAGAATGACTTTACTATAGTGAAGAGGCGGAGTACAAAACGGCTTACAAATCCTAAGCCATTTACAAAAATACTCTTGCAACCATGTCGAACCACGCCAGTGGGCTTCCCCCTTGGACCCACGACAGATCTGCGAAGCGTTCGACGGTCAAGGATATGGATCAAGCCAAATTCGAGGTAACTCCAATAACATACGCGAGACTCGAACCTATGATCTCTTAATTGAGAGCCAAACTCCAAACCAACAAACCAAAAAGAGCCGCGTTGCTAGCCAATTTCACTTCTGCTTGTTTTGATCTATGGGCGAGTTCATAACTAAATCTACTAGAATGTAATACTTTTAAAAAAAGGAGTGATAGTTTTTCTAAATGAAAATAAGTCTATACAACTATAAGAACCTTCATTTTTTTTTTCAACATAATAATTTCTCAACTAATTTTACATACAATTGTTAGCCCCCCAAACAAATTTTTTCTACCTGCTATCTTAAAGGGCACACGAGAAAAAAACTAGAACTATAATCAAATCATGAAAAGTTAATCCTCCAGGCTCAAACTAATTAATGAAACTGTCTGAATTCATTATAAACAGTATTATCAACTCAGACAGAGCCAAGTTGATGGCTTGATTATAAACCATGACAACTCAAATATCCAAGTCAACACAGCCACAACTGTTTGTTTAAGCTTTTTTTAGCTTGAAAACATAAGCCTTTTAGCTGCAACACTAATTAAATTTGAATAAATCCATATTAGCTATTAGGTTATTTGCTCCAGCCATTTTGACTAATATCTAAATTCATGAAACTGTAGTTATATGATAAGTTGACTTAACAATCATGATGAGAACTATATAAATTATTTCCTGTTGTTCATGCCAAGAGCAAGGGAGGCTTATTTTCAAGGGCTCTTCACTAGTCATCAACAACTCTCGTAATTTTGGTTATGTTCATTACTCATTCATAATAATTCTGTATCATTTATTACCAAAAAACTGTTTATCAGATATCAGGATAAGGTTATATGGCGTATTTGCACCATATGATTGGAAAAGAACAAGAACAAAAAAACAATCTATATCTTAGAAAATAAATGAGCTGCTGCTTGTTTATCAGCAGATTTTTGATTCCTTATCCTATGAAAGTTACTCTTTGTTCACATTCTTCTAAGGGCATCTCCAACTGAAAATCTCATTTTTCACTAAAAAAGCAATGAAACTCAAAAATGCCGCGATTCATCTCCAATCAAACTCTATTTTGTGTGCTTCTACGAAGGTAACCGTCTTCTCCTCTTTCGCGCGTTTCTTCGGTAAATCCGGTTGAGACAGAACATTCGCGTGGGTGAACAGTGCAACGCCAATATTGAAGTTGCACTATTCACCCTCCACCGATTAGCGATTTATTTGCTGTTTGAAACTAGCTACAAACTACAGTCGTTTGGAGTTTGGCTGGAGACACCCTAACGCTGTCATATTCTACCCATCATCTCACTCTTTCAGTGGACAATATTCAACAATGAGTAGCTCAGTTTTCGATGAGAACAGAACCAAGGAGTTCGACATTGCTAACATTTCTTCAAGTCAGAAGATGGATAAGCTGCCATCATCAGCTTATAAGGTCGGTTTTCCGCCTCGAAAAAGTTTGGCGAGCGAATTCAGTGAAGCATTGAAGGAAACATTATTCACAGATGATCCATTGCGCCCTTACAAGGACCAAACTAGATAAAGGCAATTTGCAATAGGACTTGAGTCCTTGTTCCCAATCCTAAAGTGAGGGAGAGTACAATCTTAGAAAGTTCGCTGGATTGACAATTACAAGTCTCTGTATCCCTCAGGTTTGTTTAGTTTAATGTGTAATGAAAGTGTTTGATTTTGGTAGTTGATTTATGATATGGTTTTGATTTGTTAATTAGGATATAGGGTATGCTAAGCTTGCAAACTTGGATCCTCAATATGGGCTATGTAAGTTCTTTTTTTTATATTGATTATATTCAATGAATTTATATACTCACAATATTGTTTTCTAAAAAATTGATTTGTAGATACAAGCTTTGTCCCAGCAATGATATATGCGTTCTTGGGAAGCTCAAGAGATGTTGCAATTTGCCCCTCCAAAAATCGAAAAGCCTCTTGGCCTCATGCTATTTTCATACAATAATATTGAACTTTTCTAACACTAACAAACAAATCTGTGAAAAATAATTATGTGCAAAATAAATTATTTTTGCACCACAACAACAACAACAACATCAAGCCTTTATCCCACTACGTGGGGTCGGCTACATGAATCCTTTTTCTCCATTGTGTCCTATTAAAAGTCAAATTCTCATTTAAATCTAATAAAGAAAGGTCATTCCTAATATTTTCTAACCAAGTCTTTTTAGGTCTACCCCTACCTTTCTTAACATAAGTAAAATCTAATACCTCTACTCTCCTAACCGGGTCATCGCAAGGCCGCCGTTTTATGTGACCAAACCATCTAAGGCGACTTTCTCTAATCTTATCTTCTACTGGAGCTACTCCAACCTTTACACTCATCCACTCATGCACCCTTATATATATTTTTATTTTTTTTTATAAATTTGTCATTTGCCCCCACTGAGAATTAAAACTGATTCAGCCCCTGCTTGCATCCATCATTATAAACACAATGATAGGCCTCATTGATTATAAAGCGGCTATTCTCATCTGGAAGATTGATAAGTTGGATTTCATTGCCTGCATGGGAGCATTTTTTGGTGTAGTTTTTGTTAGTGTTGAGATTGGACTTCTAATTGCAGTAAGAACTAGTTGTTCTTCTCTTCATGACAGCTGCTGCTTGGCAGAAGCCAATATCTAAGTTTGTCAATTTGTTGATGCAGGTCTCAATATTATTTGCTAAAATTCTTCTTCAAGCACTAGACCAAGAATTGTTCTACTTGGCAATCTTTCAAGGACTACTATTTATAGGAATATCCAACAATATCCTGAGGCTGCAAGAGTTCCTGGATTTGTAATTGTTAGAGTTGATTGTGCTATCCATTTCTCCAACTCCAACTATGTCAGGGAGAGGTAAATTGTTCACTGATTTGGATAAGTGTTGGAGCAGGAAATTCCAAGTTTATTTTAGCTCAGTATATAAGTAATTTGTTATTTAAATGCAAGACATTTATACCAAGTTACTAGACATTCTGTATTGTTTTCCACAAGGTAAAAAGTTAGTTTCTTGTAAAACAAAAAGATAACTTCCTCCTAACATAGAAGAAAGTGTTTCTCATCCTGAGGAAATAAAAGTTAGCTCAGAATATAGTAGGACAAGTTTTTACTACTTCATTGAATTTGAAATTTGCTTCATCTAAATTGGATGCTAAGATGATTTGCCTCATTTTGCTTAGAATTTCTATCTAATGATGATTGGAGATGAGTTTGCGAAGAAAAATAATAATAGGTAGGAGCTCCTGACAGATACCTGGCGCAGAGCTCCTTAATCAAGTGCCAAATGTACTCAAAAGTTATAAATTATATGATTTCCAAACGACTCTTCACTAAACATTGCGTTCCCATTATAGTAAAAACTGAGTTGAAACAATTTTAGACCTTGCAAAATTCATGATTAGCAAATGAAATCATTCTGAATAGAAGAGAAAAATGATATATTTACGTAAGGAAAGAAATATGCAGATGAAAGTTCACATGCAAAGCATAAATATATGGCTCTACAAGTTGCTAACTTTATTTAAACTAATCTACTACTAAAACTTCAATTGCAGGATCCTTAGGTGGTTTTGTGGTTAAGGGATGAGGAAGAACAGCTGCAAGAGAAAAACATACCACAAACCGAGTTCTTGATAGTTGAAATGTCCCGTAAGTGAAAAACTCATTCACTCATCACTGACATCGACACCAGTGGCATCCATGCCTTTGAGGATCTATACAAGAGCCTCAAAAAGAGAGATATAGAGGTAGATGAAATGCTTATTTCAACTAAACAAATAGCTTGACTGCGATATTTATAAGTTCAAAGCATAATCCAGCAATCTTTTTTTTTTTTGCACAACATAGCTCCTCATTGCAAATCCCGGGCCAGTAGTACTGGAGAAGTTCGAAGCTTCCAAGTTTACAGAGTTAATAGGCAGTGGAAATATCTTCTTGACGGTCGGTGAAGCTGTACTGAACTTCTCCAAAAAAGCTAGTGAAGAGGCTTGAAGAAGAGTAAGAGTTTATGATAGAGGAATGTTTCAGGTATCAGTGTTGTGAGCTTGTAATTTAAAGAGGCAGGGTGCGCTGTCCTCATTATCCTTTTTTTTAGCGAATTTTCCGATTACATTTATACAGTATCCTTAAATAAATATAGATGTAGTATGAATAATGGTATTATATGGTGGGCAACTTATCATTATTTTGAAATATATAACATGTTTGTGGAGGTTATGTTATTAAAGCCATGTCAATGCTGCAGATGTATGTATGGCATTCCATTTTTTTGACATCATCATCATACATATATCTTTAGATCAACATTATTTTTTAGTATTTTCAAGTATCAAGATTTTTATATTTTGTTGTTGTAAGGAAACAGATTAAGGCTCTTTCTCAATAAATTACAAAAATCTTATTATTTTTGGGTGTGCCAAAGGCTTCGTTTGAAACAACTTTCTTACTACTTTCAAAAACAATTTTTTAGTACAAAAATTTCGTGAACTAAAAATTTTGTACTAAGAAGCTGATTTAGAAAGTTGTCCCAACAAAACCTAAATGAATGAACTTAAATATTCGGCAGTAAAAAATATATTAATTTTATTGTTAAAATTTATAAATGCGTATCATTCATGTTTTTAGTTAGGATGTTGTTTTTTTTTTTATATATTTAAAAATAAAGATAAGCATTAATAAGTTACACATAATGTCTTGAATAAAATAGAGATACTTACATGCATATGTATGTATAATTTTATCCTTCTAAAAAATAGAGATAGTTATAACTATCCTTCAAAATAGAGTGAGTTATATACATACTCGCAATGCTCCGCACGAGACGGAGGCTCCTTCCTGCTTTTGTTTTATCAACTCACAACAGGTGACGAGCGCAAGATGAAGATCATGGAGACATGTCGTCAACATGTGGAGCACTGCGAAGGACATCCGAACTGTGCAATTTGCTCAATTTCGTAGGACTTCGACGTACAGAGAACATGTGGATGGCGTCAATCTACAGGTACGAGCGATTTTTTTTTTTCATTTTGTATTATATATACAGGTCAATAGATGTCAACACTCATTGGAGTGACAAAAAACACAACTACATTTTTAACACAATTTAAGTCTATCATCAAGGGGCAATCAACAACAACATATTTGTCAAATATTCGACATAAGATTAAACTCAATAATTATCCTAATATGATCTATTAGTTAACAAAGATAAACTTTTAGTGGTTGTTTCATTGTTAAATTGAATTAATTAACTCATCTGATTTAGAGTTTTCTTAAACAGAATATTATTTTCAACTACTTACAGTAACACACATTTTCAAAACTGATCTTTTTAAATTCTCACAAGAAGTGATGATGATCCACCACCTCTTCCTATATCAAGCTCCCCATGCATACAACATTTTTTTTTTTTTTTATAACCCATGCATACAACATGTGTGCGTGAGAAGTATTTCTACTTAATTTTGGCCATATTTGGTGATTATTACCAGGCATTCCAGTTATAGATACTCTAAAATGTTGGGGAAAATAATTGAAGGTAAGATTTCTATGAAATGTCAAATGAACCTTCCTTTTCCGCTTCTTTATTCCCACTAAGACTGCAGCGTCTTTAGGCCAAATTATGTATTCAAGATCTCTATGATGAAAGGCACCTAATTAATCAAATCGGGTTAAATGCTGGGCTTGGCCCTTCCCTTTTTATTCTCTCTTAATGTCTTCACTAATCTACTAGATCATAAACCCCCTTTCATTACCCCAACTTCACCCTTCCCTCTAAATGTTCCTCTTCATCACTCAATCTCCTCGCAATTTTCTTCTACTTCCACACAAAAGAATCTCTTGCTTAGGTGTCCAATTCAAGCACTTAGAAATTTACAGTTACCCATTGCAACTTCTAAAAAATAATTTCTGAGTGGCCAGTTCTCATCACTAGTTAACACAAGTTTGGCTACTTTATTAGAAACAAAAGTGAGGCTGGTGGAATCAGTTCAGCTTGCTACAAACTTCTACATATAATATAAACCTCGCGTACCTATATTAGAAATATAAGAGCGGTTGCCGGATCAGTTTGATTTCCCAACAATGGACACGATGACAGTAACATCATCAAGCTTGCCACCAGTAAAAGTTGGATAACCAGCAGCATTTGCAGCATCAGCAAATGGGCTTCTTGAAGTTGCTGACCTTCCCACTTCCTGAGCCCGCAAAGCCAAAATCTGAGCAATTACCTGCAGATTTTCAAAGAAAGAATGATATGGGAAAATATGACTCTGAAACAAAGGAACAATTCTGTATGAAATTGAGAATCCTGACCGCTGGCTTAAGATTGGCCTGCAATGATTGTGAAACTATGTCAGCTATTTCTTTCTCATATAAGTTGTCAAAGAGGCCATCTGTTGCAGTTACAATCACATCTTCTTCATCTAAACCAACTTTATAAGTCTGCGTGGGGAGGGAACATAAGTTCTCAAGGCTCGTTAGAAATGAAGAAAATTTGGTTACAGGAGAACCGGACATTTACCTCTATGTACTTCGAAGGATTATCACCGCTTTCAATCTGCATTGGAAAGTTAAAACCGTAGAGCATTGGAGAGGACCTTTTAAACACATGGGCATCCCTTATTACTATAAATCCCGAGTCTCCAATGTTTGCAACATGAAGTGCCTACAAAATTCCATTAAATTATCAAATAGGTTGATGATTTGAGGATGATGAATGACCAATCAGGCACAAATGCAGTAATATTAAAGCTATAGCTGCTACAACATCTCAAGTTTCCATGAGAAAATATAAGAAAAAGCTTCAATGCTCTTTCCAGTTTATTCCAGCACAAACCTGGCCATCGAAAAAACCAATCAAAACAGTAGATGAACCAGGAGAAATTGCTTTTGAAGCACTTTGAATAAGAACTAGACTGGGTGTATATTCTGAAATTCCATTACATTCTGACAAAAACTTTTCACAATTATCCATAAGTTCCCTTGCATATAATCCAGCATTAATTCCTGGTTCAATATGTACACTCACTATGGTCAGAGGAAAATATAAAAAGGTTATGAGAAACAATTTTATGCATGAAACTGTCCCGAACGAGGAAGTGGATTAGTGCATTAGGTATTCCTTGGAGATTTACCTTCCTGAGACCATTGGCCCACGCCATCAGCTACACCAAACCAATTCTCGCATGCCACAAAGTAAGCATCTTCCCCACCTGTCAATACCTGAAAGAAATTATCATTCAACGTGAATGTGCTGGAATACTTTCTTGGATAGGCCACTTTTATTAATCTCATCTGCTGATATAAGCGATATTTTTGCTAATGCTAATGTCAGGATACTTTTTTTAAAGGATGTTGGCTAATGTAACAAAGTACATCAGATTATAAGCAAGAAGTTGATGCCAAAATATGCTCCTTAAAATAGACACTATTTCAAGCATAATGCATGACCCAAACTAATGAACTTTGATATAGTCATTTTGGTGGGAAAATAATTTCTCAAAACAAATGGCAAGGAAACTGGCCTACTTAGCATAGAAAGGATAAGTGGATTCAAGAACCACAATCGATCTTAGACACATCTTAAGCACAAATTAATATATCTCTCGACAACACCCATATCCTTTGTTAGGTCAGTACAACAACAACAACATCAAGCCTTGGGGTCAGCCATATAAATCATTTTTTCTCTATTGTGTCCTATTAAGAGTCAAATTCTTATTTAACTATTAAAGAAATATCATTTTTAATACTTTCTAGCCAATTCTTTTTAGATCTGCATCTACCTTTCTTAACATAGGCCATATGGAAGGTCAAAGGAAAGCCAACATTTTATGTGACCAAACCATCTAAGGTAGTTCTCTAATCTTATTTTTCACTAGAACTGTTGTGTCCTAGAACATTCACGGCGGTAGAGAGATATAGGGTTTAAATCCAGCATACATACAGATAAAAGAGAGGAGCGTAAGAGTCATAAGAGATAGCAAGATTTTTATATGAAAAATCCTAAAAAGGAGATAAATCACAGGGCTTGGCCCAATTAAAATGAATCCAATAATATTTGCTGTTGACTACAGATTATGCCCTTCCTTAGGGGAAGACATTGGCTCAATGTAGAAAATACAAAGTGCATTACATGGCTGGGGTTGGAAGAATCTGAGAGCTATTCCCAAGAGAATGTTGGCCCGTTCGTTTAGTTGGTAGGCCTGTAGTCGGATGACGGAGTTCGGAGGAACCATAGTTGGGTGACAGAAATCGACGGGACCGTAGTTGACGGGCGACGTTGGTTGGAGGGACCGCAGTCAGACAACGGTGCCAGGAGGGACCATAGTCGGGGAGCGATGACGATCAAAGAGACGACAATCGGAGCGAAATGGAAGTTATAGAGATTGTAGTCGCTGGACAATAGAGGTCGAAGGGATCGTAGTTGGCGGGAGATGGAGGTCGGAGGGATTATAGTCGGCGGGCGACGGAGGTCGGAGGGACTGTATTCATCTGGTGATGGAGGTTGGAGGGCCGTATTGTGGGCGACGGAGGTCAGAGCAACTATAGCCGGCGGGAGATGAAGGCGGTGGTAGGAGGGACCGTAGCCGACGGGCAACGGTGGTCGGCGGGATCGTAGTCGAAGAGCGACGGAAGTCGGAGGGACCGTAGTTAGCGGGTAACTAAGGCAGAGGGACTGTAGTCGGCGAGCGATGGAGGTCGAAGCGACCATAGTAGGAGGGAGACAGAGATCGTGGTAGGAGGGACCGTAGTCAGCAGGTGAAGGTGGTCAGAGGGATCGTAGTTGGCGTGCGATTGTGGTCAGAGGGACTATAGTAAGCAGGCAAATGTGGCTGGAGGGACTGTGGTTGGAGACGGCGATCGGAGGGACCGTAGTCCGGAGGTAACGGTGGCAGGAGGGATTGTAGTTGGCCGATGAAGGAGGTTGTAGGGACAATAGTTGGTCGGCGAAAGAGGTCGAAGGGACCGTAGTTGGCGAGCAATGGTTGTTGTAGGGATAGTAGTCAATGGGTGATGGTCGTTGAAGAGACTGTAGTTGGAAAGCGATGGTGGCCTGAGGAACCGTAGTTGGCAGGGGACAATGGCCGGAGGGATCATAGTCGATGGGCGACAGTGGCCGAAGGGACCATAGTCAGCTGGCAAAAGCAGTCGATGGACCATAGTTAGCAGACGAAGGAGGTCGAAGAGACCGTAGTCGGAGGGCGACAGAGGTCTACGAGCAACGAAGATTGGAGGGATTATTCGGAGGGCAATATTAATAAGAGGGACCGCAGTCGACAAGCAACAGTGGTCAAACGGACAGTAGTCAGCGGACAATGGTGGTATGAGGGACCGTAATCGACGGGCGACGATGATATAAAGGACCATAGTCGGTAGACGACGGAGGTCGGAGCTGTGAAACCTGCATGTTCAGCATGTGGTTTTCCCAATTCTGACTCGATTTGGAAAAAGCCACAATCGCAGGAGAGAGAAAGAGAGAGATTTGTTCCGCTTCCGAATAGTTTTAGCCATCAAGCCAGTTGGGAAAGTAGTCTGGATCATAGTAAGTCACATTATGTCCATCTTAATTTTTAAAAATATGCAAGTTTTGCCAAAATATTCAATTAAATTTTTGTTTTCATTAACGAAAAATATGGATAGCTTTGTACTGGTAAAGTTTTTACCACAACTTTTTATATGTTATAGAGATTGAGATAACAAATGCTTTGAGTATTTTATAAAAATTTTATAATAGGGGTTTTGAAATTTGTGGGATTTTTATTGAATAAAAAATTATTTGAAGTCTAAAAAAATAGCGTTGTAGTACGATAAAAGTTTTAAAATATTGTTTTACACAATCCTTCATAATTTGATTATTTTATGAAAATATGCATTTTTACTTGGTAGGATTTTTTGTTGCCTACCGTTATAAAAAACTATGCAATTCTGACACATGCTCAATTACGTTTTAACTATTATAATATAATGGAAAATGTGCATTTGTAATTAAATTATACCTGCTGGGAGAGATAAGGAGTAAAAATCTTTAAAGATTATGTCTATGTCAGGAATTATTCTAATGAATATAATGTATGTTCTGGTGCCTACGGGCATATTCTGATGTTATAAGAAAAAAAAAGAGTCATAAGGGATCCGAATCCTTTGAGATTATGTCTATGTCTGAGAAATATTATATGGACTACTCTATGATATGCATTGTAATTTATTCTGCTCAGATTGTGGATTAGCAATTCAGGATCTAATCTGAGTTGAAGGTATTTTTCTTTTAATTTTTATATAGTCATGGCTAATTTATTATTCAATTTTGTAGCTTCTACATGTAGTTATGCACTGTAGTGTAGATATACATTTTAATGAAATGAAGAAAATCTTACGGATTAGTTTATTTTTACTATTTGAATGTTTTAGTAGCTCTATAAGCTGTAATTATTTAAAATGAACATTGGAAGAAAATCTGAGTATTCCAAAGCTAGATCTTGTGATTAGCCTGACACAGCTCAATATGATAAGATATATCATGGTCGGCTTGAGTTGTGACATGAGCGGCTGTAGTCGGTAGGCGATGGTGGTCGGAGGGATCGTACTTGGCGAGCAACGGATGTCAGAGAGACCGCAGTCGGCAAGCAATGGTGGTCTAAGGGACCATAATCGACAGGCGACGGAGGTCGGTGGGCAACGAAGATTGGAGGGACCGCGGTTGAGGGTCAACGGAAGTTGGAGGGACTGAATTTGTTGGGCGACAGTGGTGGACTGTAGTTGATAGGCAATAGTGGTATGAGGGACCGTAGTCATCAAGCGATGGTCATTGGAGGGATCATAGTCAACTGGCTGGAGAGACCATAGTCGACTGGCTGGAGAGACCATAGTCGGCAGGCAAAGGTTGCTGGAAGGATCGTAGTTGGCGGGCGATGTTAGTCGGAGGGACCGTACTCGACAAGCGATGATGGTCAAAGAAACTCTATTCGAAAAACGACGGTGTTCAGAGGGACTGTAGTTGGCGGGCGATGGTCATAAAAGGGATAGTAGTCAGTGGGCGACAGTGGTCGGAGGGACCATAGCCGATGGGCAACGAAGGTCAAAGAGACCATAGTCGACGGACAATGGTGGTCGGAGAGACTGTAATCGATGGTTGACGAAAGTCAGAGATCATAGTCGACGGGCGATGGAGGTCGGAGGAAGCATAGACGGAGGGTGACGGTGAAAGGAGGAATTATAGTCAACAGGCGAAGGTGGTCGGAGGACCGTAGTCGGCGAGCGACGGAGGTCGGGGGAATCATCGTTGGTAGGCTAAGATGGTTGGAGGGACTGTAGTTGAGGTTCAACGGAAGTTGGAGGGACTGTATTTGTTGGGCGACAATGGTCAAAATGACTGTAGTCGATAGACAATAGTGATATAAGGGACCGTAGTCGTCGGACGATGGTCATTGGAGGGATCGTAGTCGACGGGGGATGGTGGCTAGAGAGACCATAGTCGGCAGGTGAAGGTGGCCGGAGGGATCGTAGTCGACGGGCAATGTTAGTCGGAGGGACCGTACTCAGCAAGTGATGGTGGTCAAAGAAACTATACTCAAAAAGCAACGGTGTTCAGAGGGATTGTAGTTGGCGGGCGATAGTCATCAAAGGGATAGTAGTCGATGGACGACAGTGGTCGGAGGAACCATAGTCAATGGCTGACGGAGGTCCGAGGGACCTTAGTTGACGGACGATGATGGTCAGAGAGACTGTAATCAATGGTTGACGAAGGTCGGAGGAACCATAGTCGACGGGCGATGGAGGTCAGAGGAAGCATAGTAGGAGGGTGACGGTGAAAGGAGGGGTTATAGTCGATAAGCGAAGGTGGTCGGAGGACCATAGTCGGCGGGCGATGGAGGTCAGGGGAATCATCGTTGGTAGGATAAGGTGGTAGGAGAAACCATAATCAACGAGTGATTGTGGTTAGAGGGACTATAGTCAGCTACCGGGCAGAGGTCCAACAGCGTTAGCCTGGTGGCAAGGGTTCGTTAGTGATGGTGCCGGGGTGGAGCTTCAGGATGCTTCAAGTCTCAGAATTCTCTTGAGTCACCAGCCTAAGATCTAAGCTTGCAAAAGTCTAAGCCCTCTTCATGTCAGAAGCGGGGGCATATTTCTAGATTTTTTAAAGTTGTATGCTCCATAAATATGAAGATCAAAGAAAATTCAGAGTGCTCCATCGGACGACCCATATTGATTCATCGATCATGGAGCGTTTGTTCAGCATTTAAGTGCCTTATAGATGTCAGAATAAAGCTATCTGGGGTTCGCTGGATTCGTCTCATCGAGCCACTCCCTTTGACCATCAGCATGTCATATTTGGATATCATTTGGTCATCCAGTTAATGCTTTAGAGTTTTCAAATGCTTTAAGCTCTTGATTTGAGCCCATTTGAGATTAGATTGGATCGATTTATATGTTATTGGGTTCGTCTCGTCAAGACGTTCAATTTGACTATAAGTTTGCTGAAATCAGAGTTTGGAAGGACCTAAATTTAATTTTGAAAGTTTCCAATTCAAATATACATCAAGATTCGTGCCCGATCATGATGATTTTTGGAGACATACCAAATCCATCTTTAAACCTCACATATCTGGTTTTCATTGGCATTTGCTCAAGTCAATGTGCCAGAGGAGTGTCTTCCATGTGAAGAATTACCCAACCATCAAACTCTAAGGGAAAGAGGCTGAACAGAGATTCCCAAACAAAGCAACATCTAGAAAGGAGGTTGCAATCCTGTTATGCTAATAGCACTACTCTCTTTTCTCGAAAAAAAAAAACATTTTAATGATTAAAGAGACAAAGCAGACCATACCTCGAATAACAAAGAACAATAAATCATCTCAAAAAAGTTAAATATAAGAGAATAATGTATCACCATTAAGATTAAATAAAACAAATTGATACAGGATGACTTATCGTCAAAATTTACCTAACATAGGTCAACGATGGAATGCACAAAATTTAGTACATAGATCAAATTCCCAATCACAACTTCAAATTTAAACAATTATTTGTCATTTACATTAAAATCAAAATTACATTTCAAAAGACAATAGTCAACAACAACAACAATAACAACATGAAGCCTTTGTCCCACTATGTGGGGTCGGCTACATGAATCCTTTTTCACCATTGTGTCCTATTAAAAGTCAAATTCTCATTTAAATCTAATAAAGAAAGATCATTTCTAATATTTTCTAACCAAGTCATTTTAGGTCTATATCTACCTTTTTTAACATAAGTCAAATCTAATACCTCAACTTTCCTAACAAGGTCATCGGAAGGCCTCCGTTTAAGTGGCCAAACCATCTAAGGCGACTCTCTCTAATCTTATCTTCCACTGGAGCTACTCCAACCTTTTCACGTATATGCTCATTTCGCATCCTATCTTTAAGAGTAAAGCCACTCATCCACTTAAGCATCCTCATCTCTGCAACACTTAACTTAGTATTATGCTTCTCTTTTAATGGCCAACATTCAACACCATAAAGCATTGCAGGTCTCACCACCATCTCATAGAATTTTCCATTAAGTTTGAGGGGGACTTTTCTATCGTACAGTAAGCCCGAAGCATTCGTCCACTTCAACCACCTAACTTGAATTCTGCTGATAAAATCCCAACTATTTCACCATCACTCTAAACAATAGATCCAAGATATCTAAAACGTGTACT